TCCTCTTTCCATATCTCCAAACCAAATCCTTCAAAAATTCCTCAAACTCCTTGAATCTTAGATCTAGAAAACTTTTCCGTCACTTTTTTGCCCAAATTATTGAAGCTCCGACCATTACCACCCCACAATACCTACATCAATGGATAGAGATCCTCAAGATATGCCAATTTCACCCTGAAAATCCGGCGACCAAAATCCGGCCAAATTCCGGCGACCTCCCTAAACACCCTCTTTTGGCATACCACTATTTTTTGGCCACTTGAATTATAAAATGGTAAAATCCTATTCTTTTTCATGGTTGATTTTTTATTTTTATTTTTCAGATTTTATTTTTTATTATTAATTATTTTAGCATTAGTTTTTGAAGTTTTGGAATGCTAAATTTTCTATTTTTGCACTTGTTGAAGTAGTAAATTAGCTTTGTGTTGATTAAAGTGAGGTAGTGAGGAAATGCTTGAGAGTATATGGTAAAATCGTAATCCTGCCATGTTATTAATTTTTTTGATTTTTTTTAGCTAAAGTTAGTTTCTATCTTGTTTCTTCATTTAATCCATTTTTGATTATGTTTGTCTAGTTGGTTTTATTAAATCGTTCTAGCGATAGCATGCGTTTTGTTTGGCTTTAATAGTTAATTTTTGTTTGCTTACGATTGGTTCATAACACATGTGTGAAGTTTAATTACATGTTTTAATACTTGGTTTAGTTTGAATCAACAAGGTGATATTGATGTTGTTAAAATCTGAAGTTTATGTTATTTTATCACAAAATAGGGTGCTAGTAGCCTACTTTTACTAGTTAGGGTGGCTGAAATGATATTTTTTTCTCTTTGTTTCTGACATAGTAGATTTTCTTTGACCTTTGGACAGATTTTGAACAGTGTTTAGCACACAATGTAAGTTTTTGTCGGACACACATTTGGTGAACCAAAATCTGTCCAAATTTGCCTCTTTAAGGGCTACCCTTTCCTCACTTTGGGGCACTCCATCACACTTCCAGGGGCATTTTTTATAATTGCTTTGTCACAAAAACAAAAAAAAAATTAGCAGTTGAACACATGAAAAGTAAGCTGAAATGGTGAGATTTGGGAGTGAATCTTAGAGTGCAAACTTTTAGAAGAGTATAAGTCCTCTTTAGAGTTCGTTTCTGGGTTCCCTCTCTAAGTTTTCGGGTTGTTTTAACACGGATTTGCTGTTGGTTTTGCTGCTGTTTTTATACTGCTTTAGTTGCTGAACTACTGTTTATTCTTTTGCTACCAAATAATCCTTTAAGACTCGTAATGTACGTATTTTCAGCAATGGGAACAACTTGAACATGCTGCACCATTTAAATGTGTTTGATGTGATGAATAGTTTGACAACAAAAGAGCTTGTATGTTATTGTTATGTATCAAGCATGTGATAATGTGAATATAGTCCTTCATAATACTTGAATATTGAGTTGTAAGTTTTTGAATGTGATATGTAAGTCGTTTATGAATTTTTTAAGCATGTTTTCAAGCTATTATATCCGAGTAACAATGCTAAGTATGCCATAAATGACTTTAGGTGTATAACACATAGCATGAGTTCGTTTTAGTTGCTGAAATTTCACTGCCAACATATGCTTCTAGGAATATTGTGATAATATCTTTGTGAATCTGGCCATTTTGCCGGATTTGCAAAAATGGCTATTTTTGTAAAGTGGGTGTTATACAATTGTGACTATGTAGTTAATGGTTATGAACTCAAACTAAGTAAAGAGCTAAGATTGTATCAACTTTGGGCCTTATTGAATCAAAAATAAAAGTTGGCTCATTTACCTTTGAACAACAAAATTACACATTTTCTTCTATATAGCATTGGGCCAATTGAAATTCATTTATTGACCCATTTTAATAATAAATTCCAGCAGCCCAAAAGCTCCATACAAGTTGGCCCATTTTTTGTTTAACAAGAAGTTGGCTCATTTCTTTTAAAATAGATAAAGTTGGTCCAACATTTATTTGCATAATTTTTCCCAACTATAAAGCTCGAAAAAATAATAATAATATCAGATTTTTCTACTATTTTAATTAACTAGTTTTCCTTTAATTAATTTAAACGTTAGGCAAATAGTAGGTGCGCTTTAACTTCACGGACTCACTTGTGTAGCGTGACGCTTAACTTTTAATAAGTTAATTCATCAATTTCATGTCATATTCAATAGTTTTAATTAATTTATAAATCTTTGTCATAATTACGGATTCGCTTGCGTAGCATGGTAGTGACATTTAATAAATTTTTTGAAAAAAAAGCAGGTTAATGTTTCCTCCAACACAATTGCAGCAATTTTTAAAAAGTAAATAACGTGCTAACAATCGTCTGTCATAACTGCGGATTCTCTTGCGTAGCGCCGTTATGACTAAATAATAAATTTCGTCGATCACGCATTCGTTTGCGTAGTGTGGTTATGACATCTTATTATTCAAAAATATTCTTTAATTTTTTCTAATAATCAAGAGATAAAAGAGGATAGGTAAAACATGAAAATAATATAAATCATAGTTTGTCCAAAATTAATTCAATCCAAGTTTAAGTCAATAAAGCGACTGTGCTAGAACCACGGGACTCGGGGAATGCCTTATACCTTCTCCTCGGTCAACAGAGTTCCTTACCCGAACTTTGTTTTCGCGGACCGATTAAAATAGAGTCAAACCTTCCTTTGACTAG